AAACCCTAAACCCTCAACTCAAGGTTCTGGGTCTAGGGTGGAGGAGCTTCGGGTTTGGGGTTATTTTAGATGACTGATACTACTTTGGGGCTCCTTAGTACTACAATAATTACACCAAAACTCTTAATCCTCAGAGGTGCAGGGAATCGGATTTTGTGGTTTCAGGGGAGAGCGATCCGACGATAGGAGCAAAGAGCGCAACCCCAACGGAAGGATTAGTCTTCGTAGTTGTGTTATGGGCCCAAAACCGTACCGTAAGAACCCAAAACCCACTTTTTTGTAGGTTCTGATTAAAAACCCTAGTATGGGATTTATAGGGACCCTACAAAAAAGTAGGTTTTGGGTTCTTAAGGTAAAGCCTAAACCCCAAATCCAGTGGAGTCTTTGCTAAAGGAGGCTCCATGGGATTTCTCGTGCGGTTTAGCTGGGGTCTGCAGGGCCTCCTACGCTCCAGTCATCGCTTCAGAGGACGGAGTAAGGTTCAGGGTGTAGGGCTTAGGGTTTGGGCGTTTAGGGTTTGGGGGTTTAGGGCTTTGGATTTTAGGGTTTGGGGTTTGGGTTTGGGGTTTAAGGGCTTACGGTTTGGGGATTAGGGTCAAGAACAGTTTCACAGTACTTCGACTGCATGGGTTTGGGCGCTAAACCCTCCACCCTCGCCGCCGTAGTGGGTAACCCTACACCCTAAACCCGAAACCCGAAACCCTAAACCCGAAACCCTGAACCCTAAACCCTAAACCCGAAACCCTAAACCCTAAACCCCAAACCCTAAACCGTCCTTCACGGCCCAGAAAGAGACTTCACAGAAGCTCTGTTTGGACGGAATGTCGGAGAGCTGGAGCAGCTCCGACCTGTCTGAGAACCCAGGGACTCCAATATTCTTTAAAGGAATATTCCTTAAATTATAGTAGGATCCTTAATATGATTTAAGGTATAGGGTTTAGGGTTTAGGGTTTTAATCTGATTTGAGGTATATTCCTTAATTAAGGGATATTGGAGTCTCTGGGAAGACTTCAACTTTACGGGCTTGAGGCTTGGGGTTGCGGGTCTAGGGGTTAGGGTTTTAGGGTTTAGGGTTTAGGGCTTGAGGCTTGGGGTTTAGGGTTTAGGGTTGAGGGCTTTAGGCTTGGGGTTTAGGGTTTAGGGACTTGGGTTTTGGGTTTAGGGCTTAAGGCTTTGGGTTTAGGGTTTGGGGATTAGGGCTTGGGGTTTCGGGTTTAGGGTTTACAGCGTAGCTATATCACAAGATCCTGCGGTAGGAACGTCCTGGAACGGTCCATGACAGCAACAAAAAACATACAAAAAAGAGCAAAAGCCCTAAACCCTAAAGCCCTAAGACCTAAGCCCTAAACCCTAAACCCGAAACCCTAAAGCCCTAAACCCCAAACCCTAAAACCCAAAACCCCAAACCCGAAAACCCTAAACCCTAAACCCTAAACCCCTAAACCCCAAGCCTTAAAACCCTAAAACCTAAAAACCCCAAACCCCAAACCTAAAAGCCCCAACCCCTACACCCTAAACC